GTCAAAATAAATAAATGAAGGTTTCCTGTTTGTTGTTAGAAGTTAAAGTTGTGATGAGCAAACCGGCAGGAAAGTCAAGTGAAAGACGAGACGTGCGTGTGAAACCCACCAGCTGAGCGTTTTGTTCTCGGTAGCCGACCGCCACTTCCTGGTCGCTCATGGCTCTGGCGAGGAGGCCCGTGCTGTAGACGCACAGCGGTCGCTCTGCTTCACGAGCCCAGGTGAACAACGTCTCCACCAGACCTTCCTGTAACACACACACACACACAGGTCTGATTTATTCAGGGGTTGCCATAGAAACAATAACTAATAAATGGTAATATTTATCTTTAAATCTCTTCTTTAGTAAAACTCGAATTTAAAAACGCTTAAAACAGATTTCTTCACGTTGAAATAAGTCACCTTCCTGGGATGATTGATATCTTGAGTTTAAAAGTTGAAATAGAAACCAATAACTCTGTCTCTGCTGTTAATCACATTACTTCTACACTTCCAGCTCGAGTTCTGCTGAAATAACCCTCACAACTTTCTAAAGTTTGACCTTCTCCTGGAAGACGACCGAGGTCTCCACGCCCGGCATGATGTTCTGGAGCAGACGACAGGCGGCCGTGTTCAGACTCAGCTCTCTGCTGGTCATGATGTACGTGTCCAACAGCTGGAAAACAAACAGAGAACACCTTCAGCTTCCTGTCTTCACCATCACAGCTGACAAAGACACCGGCACAGACACAGTTTTAAACACCTTAAAGGGAAAGTGTGTTAATAGTTTCTTCATTCATTCTTATATTTGACAAAAGAGCGCCGGTGACGTCAACAGCACCTTAATGCTCAATAAATCTGATTGGTTGAAAAAATATCTGAAATTTGGGTGACGATGTTCATGAAGGAGTTGGTGGTGGGTCTTTAGGCTAAACCAGTTGAGAACCACTGGTCTATCTCCCAGTCACCTCTGTCTATGTTTATCATACAGTAAGAAGTGTAAACGTCATGATATTAATCCTGAGTCTGACATGTTTTTACTCTGATCTCGTGTGTTCATACTCAGAGTACATTCACACCATTACAACCTAAAAATAAACAATCTGCTGTTTGTCTTTAAAGGCAGACGCAGATTATCAGATAAAAATCTAAACTCATCCGTCAAAGCTGGACTTCACAAACCACATCACAAAAACGAGAGTCCTCACCGCGTTGGCGAATTCATCGTTCTGAAAGATCGTCTTCAGGAGCTGTCCGAGCACGCAGCCGGGGTTAGCTCGAACTGAAGAATAAAAACACAGCAGTCAGAAACTCAAGGAAACACGGCCTGGGAAATAAAGAGTTTAAAACACAAACAAACAATACATCAAGTTTAAAAAAGATTTCATGTTGAGAGTAAACGGACTCTGACCTGGATGGCGATCGTCAAACGGATCGGGGTCTTCTTTGAAGTACATTTCTGTGTTGCGTTCGATCAGCTCAGAAACTCTGCAGAAAGATGAGACAAGGTCACCTCCTCGATGAACAGGAAGTACAGATTTATACGTCTTAGCCGATAAAACAAACACTGCTCACTTAGTCAGGACGGACACCAGCTGCTCCGTGGTGCCGGTCTCTACTTCCTCCCATTCGTCCAGCAGCTTCCTGAGCTCCTCTTTAGGATGAATGTCCGCAGCAGCAGCCGGGGCGGACGACACGGCGGCGGACGGCACGGGGGCGGCAGACGACGGGACGCCTGAAGGTTCTTCTTCTGGGGAAGACATTTCTGCCTGACACACAGAGGAGAGTTCAACACAGAGAACGTTTCTGTAAATCTGAATTTGAAGGGACAGAAAACGTCTTTCTCCTACACTAACCAGTTTAAGAGTTTCGTACAGGTGGAAAAGAAAATGTTAATGACACGTTGTCTGACATGTTCAAAATCCAGATGTCTTTATAGCCGTTTAAAAAGGACAGCAACGCAGAGTGAAAAGCTGCAGATCTCAGAGAAGGATAAGGGGCAATAATATTTCAATATGGGGTTCATATTTTCAGTCTCTCCAGGGAGAACGTCGTCGTAGTGTTTTGCTGAGTTGATCATTTTTTATTTTCGCACAAGGACGAGAAAACAGGAAAAACCTTTACAGAGAAGGATCCACAGGAGGTTTAGTGTCTCTCAGGGGAACCAGGGGAACTTCAGGGATCCTCCCCCCTCTCTCTAGAGGCACGCTGAGGCTGTTACTCCTGATTCTCTGCCTGATCATAACTGGACGTTTAAGTGATGAACGCTTCATCATGTTAATAACAAAAAACTTCATCAGGTTGACTTTAATCTATTTGGAAGGGAGATCCAGCTCTCATTTCTTTTTTTAAATGAGACAGAAAGGGCCCCGCCAAGTTGTTTAATAACTCTGCAAATCCCCACTCTAAATAAACATTTTCTCCTTTGCTCTGTTTTTATTTTGAAAGTTAGTTTTGGTTCATTAAGGTATTTACTGTGGTTTAAAATGTGTCAGGTCAGCCTTTAGGGGGGGCCTCCTATTGGCCCAGGGCCCCAGCTGTTCCCTGCCATGCCTGCTGTTGATAAGCAGCTCCTCTGGTCGTGAATTGTCCTGCGAGGTAGACAAATCTCGACGTAACACCAGCCTCACGTCGCTCCTCTCTGTTCTGTTAAATCGAGTCGTTGTTTGGTCCGTTTTGTTTCTTAACACTGGGCAGGAGCAGGCTGGACGTCTCCACATCCAGGAGCAGGCTGGACGTCTCCACATCCAGGAGCAGGCTGGACGTCTCCACATCCAGGAGCAGGCTGGACGTCTCCACATCGTGGAGCAGGCTGGACGTCTCCACATCGTGGAGCAGGCTGGACGTCTCCACATCCAGGAGCAGGCTGGACGTCTCCACATCGTGGAGCAGGCTGGATGTCTCCACATCCAGGAGCAGGCTGGACGTCTCCACATCTAGGAGCAGGCTGGACGTTTAGACATCCTGGAGCAGGCTGGACGTTTAAACATCCAGGAGCAGGCTGGACGTCTCCACATCGTGGAGCAGGCTGGACGTCTCCACATCGTGGAGCAGGCTGGACGTCTCCACATCGTGGAGCAGGCTGGATGTCTACACATCGTGGAGCAGACTGGACGTTTAGACATCGTGGAGCAGACTGGACGTTTAAACATCCAGGAGCAGGCTGGACGTTTAGACATCGTGGAGCAGGCTGGATGTTTACACATCGTGGAGCAGGCTGGATGTTTACACATCGTGGAGCAGGCTGGACGTTTACACATCGTGGAGCAGGCTGGACGTTTAGACATCGTGGAGCAGGCTGGATGTTTACACATCGTGGAGCAGGCTGGATGTTTACACATCGTGGAGCAGGCTGGATGTTTACACATCGTGGAGCAGGCTGGATGTTTACACATCGTGGAGCAGGCTGGATGTTTACACATCGTGGAGCAGGCTGGATGTTTACACATCGTGGAGCAGGCTGGATGTCTACACATCGTGGAGCAGGCTGGATGTCTACACATCGTGGAGCAGGCTGGACGTCTCCACATCGTGGAGCAGGCTGGATGTTTACACATCGTGGAGCAGACTGGATGTTTACACATCGTGGAGCAGACTGGACGTTTACACATCGTGGAGCAGACTGGATGTTTACACATCGTGGAGCAGGCTGGATGTTTACACATCGTGGAGCAGGCTGGATGTTTACACATCGTGGAGCAGGCTGGATGTTTACACATCGTGGAGCAGGCTGGACGTTTACACATCGTGGAGCAGACTGGATGTTTACACATCGTGGAGCAGGCTGGATGTTTACACATCGTGGAGCAGGCTGGATGTTTACACATCGTGGAGCAGGCTGGATGTTTACACATCGTGGAGCAGGCTGGATGTTTACACATCGTGGAGCAGGATGGATGTTTACACATCGTGGAGCAGGCTGGACGTCTCCACATCGTGGAGCAGGCTGGATGTTTACACATCGTGGAGCAGGCTGGACGTCTCCACATCGTGGAGCAGGCTGGATGTTTACACATCGTGGAGCAGGATGGATGTTTACACATCGTGGAGCAGGCTGGACGTCTCCACATCGTGGAGCAGGCTGGACGTCTCCACATCGTGGAGCAGGATGGATGTTTACACATCGTGGAGCAGGCTGGACGTCTCCACATCGTGGAGCAGGCTGGATGTTTACACATCGTGGAGCAGGCTGGACGTCTCCACATCGTGGAGCAGGCTGGATGTTTACACATCGTGGAGCAGGCTGGATGTTTACACATCGTGGAGCAGGATGGATGTTTACACATCGTGGAGCAGGCTGGATGTTTACACATCGTGGAGCAGACTGGATGTTTACACATCGTGGAGCAGGCTGGATGTTTACACATCGTGGAGCAGGCTGGATGTTTACACATCGTGGAGCAGGCTGGATGTTTACACATCGTGGAGCAGGCTGGATGAAGCTACTCGGGGACTGTGAGAGTTTAAAGCGCGTGTTCGTGACACGGTAACAGGTGTCTCCTCTGCTAACGCGGCAACAAGGTGACAGTTAGCAAACTTAGCTTCATTTCCTTCAGTCAAACAGCTTCCTAAGCTTTATTTATATTTAACTACAAGCTCTCCTCCTTTAAACGACATAACTGTGAACAAACGTGTCTCTACAGCAGAAGAGAGAGAGCAGCTGCAGCGTGTTGACAGTCGGTCGCCTCATGTCAAACACCAACAGCTTCAGCAGCTAGCGGCTAGTTTTGAATTTAAATAAACACTCACCGGGATAAAGAAGCTCCCTCTGCGACGAGCCGTCACTTCAGGACGCCGTTCTGTTCAAACTCTGCTCGTTGGGATCAATCAAACGACGCTGACATTCACCGTTAGAGAAATAAAAAGTTTCACGTTTATTTTCAAACTTCTCCCGGCGGCTGCGCGCTACGTCACCGAATGAGTCGACGTTAGATGACGACACAGCCCGACTTCCGGATGGGACTTGTAGTTCGACATCGCAACGAGTAGGATTTCTTTGATTTCCAGAGTAAAGATTCACAAAATGTGGCTATATTACTGATTTTCTTTTTAGTCGAATTTCGCAGACAATGAATGATGATTAATTTCATCCTGATTTAAGCTAAATATTACTTCTATAAAATCACAAATTATCCTCCGTTTGTACTTTTAAAACTACAGATTTGAAAACTAATTTAACCTCTGCAAAAAAAAAAAAATTCTAAATCTCACAAATGAGAAATTGATATGGAAGAGGATTGTGGTCAGACCAGACAGATTTTTTTCGTTTATGCAATTCAAGAAAAAAGTTGATATTTCGGGAAGCCGAATTTGAGCAGTCTAGATGTACTTCAAATTAATTCTCAACATTCTACTTCTTCTCAAAGTTCATAATGAAAAACCTCCTCCTCATATTGTAATTTATTCCTCATGTCTGGCCCTAATCCTCTTCCGTACTCATATTCAAATTAATCATATTAAATTAATTTGATCCTAATTTTAGCTAAATATTACTTAAATAAAGTGAAATGGCTTTACAAATTATCCTGTTTATAGTTTTAAAACTACAGATTTGAAAACACAGTTATCCTGTTAAAAAAATCTAACCCTCACAAATAAGAAACTGACAAACAAAATGACCGTACTTTATTTAGAAATGTAAATGGTTATCACCTCCTGTTTTTGTGTTTTTTTTCTGTTATTTAATACTGATATTTGTTGTGAAATGTTTATTTCCTGTTTTTACACCTGTGTTTATTTGTGTTGCTGTACTACAGCAGCGTGTAGATGTGTAGTCAGGGGCATGTCCGGACTTTTTGTACTGGGGTGGCCCAACTGGGGCACTGACTTTTGAATTTCGACCTCATGAAGTTGTTGTTTTTTTTTTTTTTTAAAGATGTGTAATCATGTGAAATATTTTCGCAGAGTCCTACAATTTAAAAGGGTGAATATTGATTCATATAAAAACTATAAATACAATAAAATAAATCAGAATCAAAGAATGAAAAAAGGCAGTTATTAAAATAATTTTGAAGAATAGGGCCGAGGTCGGACTCAAACCCACAGCAGCTGCAACGAGGACCACAGTCTTCGTACGTGGGGCGCGCAACATAACTGCAAAGCTTTCAGCGCTCCCAATAATTTTGAGAAAAATGTACATTAAAGGGTAATTCTAGACATTTGTATTCTTCCACCTCCTCCAAATACAACAACAGTTTATGTTACAATAACATTTTTAGCGTTTTGTTTTCCTTTTTTGTCTTATTCAAATAAATTCCAAAAAGTGGATGTCCTTGGGTGAGGTATGGATTTCGTAGTGTGAGTGCGCCCTGAGACAAAGAAGAGGAGGATGATTATTACCGGCCACAGCAAATACACTTTACTATCTTCAGCATAAGGTTGGAATAGTTCTTCATTAACAACAGAACAACCATCGAGTGCAAACAGTTTATTGACTCTAACGGACAAACGCATCCCGTCTGAGAAAAATAGTCAGTTTTTTCCATCGAGTACTTTCAATGTTTCGGCCTGCACCAGTTTCCAGGTGCTTGTTTTAAAAATAAAAAAGCCTGAATAACAGAGCGTTAACACTCTGTATTTATTTACAAAGTTAGAGGGACAACATTTTATACAGTTAAGCAGTCAAAGCAAGAACAAGAACAAATACTGACAACAGGGTTCCCACACAGTTTAAAAAGCTGCCGTCCCTTTAAGAAATCTGGAATATCTTTATTTGTATGAAATTAACAGACATAAACTTTTACCCTGTTAACACCCGATCTGGCTCTGATCGCTGACTTCACTGTAGCAGAGGAAGAGCTGAAGATTTCTCTCCACAGGAAGTCAAATATACTCTTTAGGCAACTGTTTGAGGTTTCTGTAAACTTTCAGTTTGCAGCAGCTCCTCAGTTTAAAGATGTGTAGAGAGTGAGATGATAAAGGTATCTTACTCTCTGGTCATTAAGGAAACATGCGATGTTGAAGTGCTGGCTTCTCTGACAACAATGCAGCAGCCAGTATGTCCTCCTTCTAACTTTAGATTCTGCTCCTGAATGCTCTGGATTTGTTTGGACCAGAGAAGGTAGGCGCTTTTAAGACACGCCCCCACACACGGCCGTTTTGGACGTCCCTCAGTTTGTCAGATATGAGAGCAGTTATCAGGTCAACAGGTGTTGCAGCGATGGAAGCGGTCAAGAGAAGTGGTTCAGATAGAAGTGATTGTACCCGACCTAAAAAGCCTCTGCATGTTTCTAATAAGCTCCACGAGCAGAAACGTGCTCAAACTAGGATCAATATTGGAGATGCTTTTGAAAAATGGAGAGAGGTTAGAACACAGAAAGGTTTACAGACCCATGCAGAGCTGGATAAACACTGAAGCTTCAGAGTCCACCACATGGTGACCTGTGTGAACATCCATATTGGCCTTTTAAGATGATATTACTTGAAATATTTGGAAGGTTCGGATGACACCACTTAAAGGTTTTGTAAGAGTGGATGTGACCTCTGTGAGTTTATCAAGAAAAAAAAAGCCTTAAAAAAGTAAAAGCACTGAGTGAGCATGAATGAAATTGGTTTTGTGTATTTTTCCAGACATGTAAGAACCCTGCAGCTCAGTTAGTGCGTTTTCAGTTTGTCTCCAAACAGCGTCATAAAGAGTCCGAACAGGAACCCCCCCGTGAGGATGATCAGGGTGCTGGATATGGGGCCAAAGGACAGGAGCGCTCCCACCACGTAGCAGAGCAGCAGCAGCAGGATCGTCCTGTAGCTTGCCAGCGAGCGCAGACTCAGCCTCGGCTGTCTGTTCCTCTCCAACGTCCGCCGGGACATCGGGCTGTGCTTCAGTTTCACTGACGAATCCTGTTCAGCCAAGTAGTGACGACCCAGCCGACCCAGGAAGTCCGGACGGGAGCAGAGCGCGTCCATGTGTCCTCCAAACTGTAGGGGGCGACAGAGGACATTAACGTTTGAGCTGAGAGAGACATGAGCAGTTTTAACATCAGACATGACCCAGAGGAAATGCAAACATCTGAATCAGCTGAACTGGACTTTAAAGAGTTAACCCCGCCTTTACCTAAGAACAATGTCTGTAAAAGAAAAAGTTAGGAGTCGTGTTTGAGCCACAAGAAACACCACAGTCCTTTTTCACTCTCCTTTAAGTTTGGTTTTCACCAAGAAAAGTCTCATCAGTAGTGTTGTAGTCAAGACCAAGGTAACCCAGACCAAGACCATAAATATTACTGAAAATCAGAGTCCTGTGTGCAGCAGGCGTGTCCCTTACTTAGGCCGTAACACAAGTAAGTTGTAGTCGTGACCGGGGGTTAAAAATCAAACTACAAATGAATTGAAGTGATTTGTTCTTTTAGAAAGAGGAGTTTTCCTTCTAATCACAGATATGAGGTGACAAAGAAGCCGATCAGTTTTGGTGTTGACTAGGGCTGATTAAAAACATCAATAATAATATAATTATTTTCCCAATTCAATATCGATTCATTGAAATCCTGAGATTGTTTTTTCCCTGTTGTAATGACACCCCTCTCCACTAGGGGGCCCTGTGGGTGCTGTGAATTCAGGTCAGGCACAATTTTGCACTTTATATCATACTGTACTTTCATGTTTTATTCTTTGTTTATTGAAGAAAAATAAAACGATAAAATACTTTTTTGAGTCAGTTTGTTTTAACCAAATACAAACACATAATTATTTAACAAATATAAGAAGCGAGTCGAAGTTGAATCGAATGGTGAGGTTGTTGACAATACCCAGCACTAGTGTTGACCAGTCTGGATTTAGAATCCAGAGTCTGTCCCAGTCTGAGACCGAGACAAGCCCAGGTAAAAATGCTTTAGATTTAAGTCAAGAGACCTTTAAAAGGTGGTCTCTAGAACGGTCTTTAGACTACCACCCGATGTCCCTGACGCCCTGCCACAACCAGCGGACTGTATCGTCCCCACAACCACCATTCATGCACGGCCTGCTCCGACCTCAGCTGCGAGGAAGTGTGGACAACAGGAACAAAGGAGAAATCCTTCCTGCATATATTCAATATGCTCTTTTGTAAAGCGTCTCGAGACAACACTTTTGCCGCTACACAAATACTGACTGACTGATTGACTGAGCTCGAGGACTACAACACTCCTCTCCTCTGTGTCCAGCAGCTCATCTGTAACAGGTTTAGTCTTCTGTTTGTTATTAAGCTGATCCAGCAGCAAACAGAAGTTTGATTTAACGTCTCGGTGGATAAACCAGAGAATGAGCAGATGACTTACCCTCTCATTCACCAGAGAGGAGATCTTGTAGAAGAGCCTGACCAGCAGGGCGTTCTCGTAGCTCCTAATGGGCTGGAGCTCCGGGTCTCCTTGATAGTGAAGGTCGAACCTGCGCAGTCCGCTTATGATCTGCACAGAAAGCCAAAGACAGACACGTACAGGGGTCAGGGTTGTTTCTGTTTGCAGCCTCGCCCACACCTTTAATGCACACCCTGCTCCTCCTGTACTGACCTGCATCCGGCCCAGGTCGGTCAGAATGAGTCCGTTCTCGCCCTGGATGCAGTCTGGAAGCTGCTTGGAGTTTCCGTCGTCTTGTGAGGAGCTCAGGTTGGATATGAGCTGAGACAGCTGCCCCTGGTTCAGCTACAAACACACAGACAGACAATCAATCACATGGAAAATCCTCAAAACGTGCTTTAAGTGAACATCACATCTATCACATTTCGTCACAGTGCCCAGAGACGGTTTGCAGCGATCAATTCTGATGTAGTTCAACGTTTTCCTGAGCACTAAAACGCCCTCGCCATCCGTTGTTTTTTGTCCCTGCACTCTCAGTTTTTAACACTCCAACTTCGAGAACAGCGCCTTGCTCTTCAATGCCACTTCTCCCTCACCAGCAAATCAAAAGGGGCGGGGCTTCTGATATCAGCTTTGTCTACAACAATGGCGGAGGAGATGCACTCATCTTTAGAAGGGAACAGTTTTCAGGTGTGAGCAGTTTTTCTGCTGCTGATGTCAGGACACGACTCCTTTACATCGTTGTCTTGATGATAGCTAACGGATTAATGAGGAAGCAGACGTTAACTTTGGTAACCTAGCAACAGTAGGTGATGGTGAGAAGCGCTCTGAGAAGGAGGTGGTGGACGCTGCCGGCCCTAAACGTGCAGAAATATAAAACTGCATTGAAAACATTTGTTTCTTAAAGACGATTGAGTCTTAACAGAATGCATCCAATCACAGACTCTCCTCCAGGACTCCCATGAGGTCAAGATTTGTAGTTCTGAGAGAAACATGGACAGCTATTGGATGGATCGCCCTGAAGATTGTCTCAGACATTCATGGCAGTTTGGGTAAATTATATTCACTCTGATAAAAGACTGTAAGGGTAATAACGCTTGCCGGAAATAAAGAACAAAATGAAGTTATCTGACCTTGAAGATTTGACACAGGTTCTCGAGAGCTCTTTCCAGGAACTCGTGGGTCTTTTTCAGACATTCCCCGCTCTCCTCGGGCTCGGCCCCGGTGAACATGTTGTTGTGGTCAGCAGGGCCCATCCCGAACCAGGACAGGAAAGAGTTGTTGGACGCCATCTCGTTGGAGTGATCTGAAATCCTCTTGGCTGTTTGTCTGGCCTGTGCGATTATTTGTATCAACTTCATGACCTGAAAAAACGGATATATAAAAAAAAAAAAATCAGCAACACTCCCCGCCGTGTGGCGATGACCTGTGAACGATTTTTCATGAATCTGTGAAAAATCTAATGGAGAAACTTACTGCTCCCCTGAGCTCAGTGCCAAACATCTGCTTGTACTGGCAGTCCTGTCCCTCCAACGCATACACATGGCTCTTCACCCTGAACACCACATCTGTCATCACTCGTTGCCGTGACGACAGGAAGCTGCCTCCTTGGCTCGGCGTCAGGTAGCCGCGTGGTTGTCGATGGTGGAGGACGTGCTCTGGCTCCAGAAACAGCTGTTCTCCTGGTCGGAGAGACTTCGTTTAGTTGTTTTCTTTTAACATATAAACCGTTAAATCCGGTTTATAAGATGCACTACTTCTATCACTGCTTCTTATACAACAATGCGACCCATATACCTGTGTGTGTGTGTGTGTGTGTGTTTCTGTCCTCACCTTTCTGGATCATCTCGGCCAGGTTGGGCTGAGCGAACACTTTGGCCACCCTGAAGACCATCAGAGCGTTTTTGGCGTTAACGAGGTCCGTCCTCACCGTTCTGTTCAGAAACACCTGGAAGAGCTTCGTGTACATGAGCAGGTTCTCCTGAACAAACGACTCCCTGAGGAAGAACACGAGAGTGTCAGAACCAAACAAACTGAAATAGCATCTGAACTCTGTTTCATCAACTTTGTATCTAAATGAGCAGGACTTAAAGCTTTAAATTGAACTGATCCTGAGTTAAAGCCATCGGGCAGAGATGTCAGTCTCACCATTTGTCAGGCACAGTTCTGGATTGGTCCACCTGAGGATTCGTCTTCTCTCCTGTGTATCTCCAGGGTTGGATGTAGCTCAGCCACGTCTCCAACACCTACACAAAGAGATAATGAATCCATTTTAAGAATGAAATAAGTGCTGAAACAAATAGTGTTAATACAGGCATGAATCAAATGATCTTTCTTCATATCACAGTCACAAAACTTGTTGTTGTTATCTGTTCCCAAAGTGCGTCTTGAAATGGGGAAAAGGAGTTTCAGGTACGCTGCTCCGGCAGCCTGGAATCTCCTGCAGGATGATCTGTGTGTGGGGGAGCTGGTTTCTTTAAATCATTTTAAAAGTAGATTGAAGGTGTGTGAGGAAGATCCTTCAGGTTGTAGATACTTTGACTTATGACTTTGTGCTCTGAGACTCAGGACGTGTTCAACTGTGTTTGTAATTACTCTGTGTTTTATGTCTGTAACTCTTGTGCTGCTGCCCCCTCTTGGTCAGGACACTCTTGCAAATGAGATTCTTAATCTCAATGAGGTTCTCCTGGTTAAATACATTTAAAATATCACAGGCTGCTTGTGGCATCAACTGAGAAACGAAAACGAAGACTTGCTGGTCTGTGTTCACATTACTAACATCGTTCTGTGCTCGAGTACACCTGTCTATGAACACAGTCTGATCCAGCAGGGGGCAGTATGCACACAGTTGGTTTGCAAATCTGATAAAAAGCAGAAAGAAGTAACCATGGCGACCACTCGCGGGATGAGTCCAACCTGCTAACTGTGGATGTTTTTGTTATTTCTGAGATGTCAATAAAGACCCTCTAAATCTAAAGAGTAAGTCTAAATCTACCGTGCAGCTCAGAGGATGAAACAGACCTGTGACAGTTTTTGAAGCGACATGAGACGTTTAGAATCACGTAATGTAGCTGTCAACTTCCTAGTTTGAGCACGGTTACGTTCACATCTCCCACAGACAGTACTGGAGTAAACTTGAATCGTGCCCTTGACGTCCTCCTCAAGCAGACTGTACGTTTGTGTTCACACTGATCAAATGAACCGGACTTATGGGTCAAGTGTACTCGGATCCGGGCCCGGGTCCCTAATGTGAAACCGCCCTTAAATCCCTGCTGCTGGAGAAGAACAGACAAAAACAAGGAACCAAACTAAAAAAAAAAAATCTGCTATCAGAGTAACACAGTTAAGACTCCACAGGTAACAAACACAGAGAAGGTTCATGTGAATTCATCTCAGCTGGGACCTACCGCTCTGAAAGATGCATCAAGAGGCCAGTGTCCGAAGCAGTGCTGGAGGAACAGGTAGAGTTTCTGCTGTACGAACCGCTGCACCACCACTCTGCAGGCAGGAGGAGAAGAAAATCACAGTTTGTTTTTTGCTTCTGATTCGCTAAGATTGTTATTCCAAGTGTCTTAAAACTTCCCAGAAAGGATCCCTGCAGAGACGAGAAACAGACCCTACATCTGTCGCTTAAAGCAGCCAGACTCCATTAAGAAAAACACAGATTTAACCTGCATGAGGGACGCAGATTTACCACTGCCTTGGCTGTTATTCTGTGATATGAAAGGCTGGAAGCTATGAAAACAAGATGTTAACAGCTCTTTCTGGTTGAGTCAAATCATTTGTCATGATAAGGATGCTCTGTAGGGACTAATCTGTAACACTGTAAGACACAAATGAGGATCAGTGGCAACACCTTGACCACAGGGATTATTTTGCAGCTAGAGTTGCCGTCTGAAGAAATCACAAAAATGCCAAAGCGTTGTTTTACCGTTCAGCCATTTACAACCATGTAGAAAAACTGGGGCCAAGGTTCTAAAACAACACAATTCATCTCTGTGTATGACAACAAACCCCCTGCATCATGTATCAGAAGTCGTCTTTGGGGGCGCGCTGGTGGTGCAATGGTTAGGGCGCGCGTCCCATGTATTGAGACTCTCGTCTTGAGCGGTAGGCCCGGGTTCGCTTCCACCTGTGGCCTCTTTCCGCATCTCATTCCCCGCTCTCTCTCTCTCTGGTTTCCGACTCTATCCACTGTCCTCTCTCTCTCTGGTTTCCGACTCTATCCACTGTCCTCTCTCTCTCTCTGGTTTCTGACTCTATCCACTGTCCTCTCTCTCTCTGGTTTCAGACTCTATCCACTGTCCTCTCTCTCTCTGGTTTCTGACTCTATCCACTGTCCTCTCTCTCTCTGGTTTCCGACTCTATCCACTGTCCTCTCTCTCTCTGGTTTCAGACTCTATCCACTGTCCTCTCTCTCTCTGGTTTCAGACTCTATCCACTGTCCTCTCTCTCTCTGGTTTCAGACTCTATCCACTGTCCTCTCTCTCTCTGGTTTCTGACTCTATCCACTGTCCTCTCTCTCTCTCTGGTTTCAGACTCTATCCACTGTCCTCTCTCTCTCTGGTTTCAGACTCTATCCACTGTCCTCTCTCTCTCTGGTTTCAGACTCTATCCACTGTCCTCTCTCTCTCTCTGGTTTCCGACTCTATCCACTGTCCTCTCTCTCTCTCTGGTTTCCGACTCTATCCACTGTCCTCTCTCTGGATTAAAGGCACGAAAAAAGCCAAAAATAAATCTTAAAAAAAAAAAAGAAGTCGTCTCTGACCTCTTGAACTCCTCCAGCGGGCTGGTGTGCGTGTGCGAGTGGGCCGAGGGCGAGGACGACAGCTGCTCGGGCTTCAGGCTGTTGGAGAAGGCGTGCAGGTGTTTGACCAGGAGACGCACCACCAGCACGTGCTCCTCTGTCGGGCTGAAGGGTTCCTGAAAAAACAACATGTCACAAGGTGCTACACGCGTGCATCGCATCACACACACACTTACTGCGCCGATTCAAAAAGCAGCCAATCATAGTGCATCCCAGTCCAAAAGCAGCAGAGCAACCACCAAAAGGCTCAGAGCGTTTTTTTCTTTATGCAGAGTACGGAGGTCTCACACCATGAAATGTTCATCATGTTAACGGCTACAGAGACGGAGCCGCTAAGTGTCAGGCTCTGCAGGGTTCAGTTTCTCAAAGTTAGCACTCATAGTTCTGTATACAGCTGAATAATAACTCTCAGTATGATTCTTTTATCATTCCAACAGCAGAGGAGCTGCTGCTGATCAACATCAGATCCACCGGCTGCTGAAACCAAGCCAAGTGTGTTTATTCAAATGTAGCTTCTTCTAATTTAGAGCATCAGTAGGGATACTTCCTTTATATTGATCATGATGATAGCATTTATTTTATAAATCACAAGTTCTGGTTGCAAAACTTTACAGACACTAACTTGATATATAAAGCTCTACAAAGAACACCTGATGTAATGTCTAGGGCCTGACCGATGTGGGGTTTTTTGGGGGGCGGTTATCAATATTGAAGATAGAAAAAATCCAATACCAATATACTGTATCTGCTGATATCTTTCCAAAATCTATGTTCAATCTGTAAAAATAGGTAGCTGATGATATACATCACATATACTGATCTCTAAAATGCAGTTATCAAACACTACAGTATAATGAAAACAAGATGGTCACTCAACGGAGCATGAACGTACATCTCCGCTTAACACTCTGGAGAGGGATGATGTTTGTTGTAATCCATATAGCGCCCTCTGCTGGTGAAAGATAACTGCTAGTGTCACACAATGATACTCAAAGGAAATCATATTTGACTAGTAAATAAATCTAGTAATATCAGCGCATATCTGCGATAAAATAGCCGATACAGATAGTCACTGGATAAGCAGGCTGATATAAACTTGGATTCCTGAAAGTAAGAATATCAAATTACATTTAAAAAATTACACAAAAGGGAAGGTGGGACCTCAGTGCTCCACAGAGTGCTTATAGCAAAGCTGCTTCCTCTTCTTGATGCCAACACACACACACACACACACACACACACAACCTCAGCATAGAACATCCTGTTTAATTTAATCTAAGATGATCAATGATTGATTTTAATATGCAATGATTTTCTTTAATGTCATGGAGAATCAAAGTTGAGCAGTGTGAGTAGAACATTTATTTAAACATGGAAGAGAACAAAGCAGAGCAGACAAAGCATGCCTTTCTAAACACACAACAGCAACCACAACCAAAGCAGCAAAACATCTGCTCCAAAACACCAAAGCTTCATTCCAGGATTACGTTTCCTGTCAAGGATACTTCTCTGCAGAAATTCACAGTTAAAGGTCAGACGGGAGGGCTCATACAGGAAGCTGAAGAGGACGATTTCAGGCAGAAATAAAAGCAACAGGACTGATTATCAGAGGAGAGGCTCAATGCTCAGTCTGCTGTTTCTAAGGAGCAGACTCTTTAGGGAAATGAAGACACTTAAACTGAGCCAGCAGTCATGAGACACCTAGGTCACAGAGTCTCTCTGATCCCTTACACATTTCAAATCAGACCATCATTAAAGGCCAAACACTACATTTATAGAAGTCTGAATTTACACCTTATGGATGTATGAGACAAATTTTAGTGCATCCAGATTCCCGGCTCTCTTCTACCTTTATAACAGGCGCCCTGTTTTTAAAGCAGGATGTAAAGGTCTCACCGTGTTTGTCAACATGAGAGAAGTATCCTTGACTCTGATTAATCTGACTGAGGTTTACCTCCAGGAGGCCCCAGAGGGGCGGGGGTGAATGAAAAGGTAAAAGTACTTGGTAGGTGTGGAGGGTCCCAGAGCCTGGTGGGGCGTGGGGTTGGCACGGCATGCTGGACATACTGAGGCGGTACTGCAGCAGCGCCAGCTGTTCACCCGTAAACCACCAGGAGGGAGAGGAAGACGAGGGAGAGGATGGACGATGACGAAAGGTGAAGGAGAAGGAGGTGAAGAGTGAAGAGAGAGGAAGGGGAATCAGGGAAGGTGAGGAAGAGGAGGAAGGAAAGAAAAAGGGTAGCAGGAGGAAGGTTTATATGAGAACAGGAGAAAAAAGGAAGCAGCAAAAAGGAGAGTGCAACCAGACAGAAACATTTGACCAAAAAAACATTGAAGAAGAAAAGAGCAGACAACAGGAGAGGAGACAAACAAAAAGAACATGTTGACTGTGGGAACACAACACTTTGACTGCAGGGGGCGACGCAGACTCCCGTCTAACAGAGTTACATGACAGTAGGGATGGGAATCATTTCTTAGAATTTCAAACAAGCTGTTTGCTAAAGGATTAAAAAATATATAAATCTCCATATTAACATGAAAGTATGTTTACTCAGGATGAGTATCTCTGCTGTCATTCTGGGAGGTTTGTTCCAGGCTCATAAATCTTATCAACATAGTTTAATGAGCGCCGTCATCTCAGCGTCCTCACTCATCAGCCACTAAAGAAACAGCTGATAGTGAAAAGATGAACTAATTCCAGTGTAAACTTGCTAACAGAGATATCATCTAAAACAGGAGGAACTGGGAGGGTAAATCCAGGTTCCAGAGAGACTCTGTGACGGCCAGAAAATAGTTTTTTATCAGGATATAAGAACATCTTTAAATCATTCCCATCTCTAATGTTTCACATCTTTAACAGAGTGAACTCCAAACTGTAAGATAAAACTGTAAAATCCAGAATTTGAACGTTTTTATTTCAGGGTCAGGAAACCTTATCTTCATTTAACCAATAAGATTTCTCTGTAACACCGTCTCCTAACAGCACACGGGCACTATGTATCACGTAGCATCACGCATGGTCGCACGCTTGCTGTCCACACTGCATCCGTTAAATATTGAATTCTCTGCTCTGTAAATTTCAGTTTCCCCCTCGCAAAGAGTATGGACATGTGGTGCTTTGATTTAGAAGGTGGACAAACCGATGTGTGGTGCTTAATATCACAACACACATTGGCTCGTCTATAAACGGCTCACGGTGAGCTGAAATAAAGTTTATTCAGAGCTCAAAAGCTCAACATTTCAATCATGAATGTGGATTATTATTATGCACTGTTATCTCCACTTTGTACAACGAGCTAACGAGCTCTGCTGAGTGAGAAAGTGAGCGTCGATATCGGTAGAGCCCCCTCCTCCCTCGTTAGTCTACACGAGCAACAGAGGATAATAGAAACGGGAAGTCAGGACACCCTGATAGAATTCAGCTGATGTTGTCGCTCGCACCGTGTGCTGTTAAGACAGGCTGTTAGATATTTAAGTAGTAAAATCTGAACCATAGTTGTTAGAAAATCTCTCGTTTAGTTTGAGTCGTCTGAACTTCAATCTTACAGTTTAAATTCACTCTTTAACTCGACGGACACAGAACAAAAATAATAACCAAACACATTTAATACACTTTAAAAGGGAGAGCATTTAGTAAAGGAGGTGAACCAAAGTAACGCTGACTATGCAGGACAACGGGCAGCGTATTACACATGAAGTTAAAGGGCTAGTTCACAGTTTCCTCATGCAGAATCACGGAGCAGTAATGATTCGTCTGAAACGTAAACAGCTCAATCTGAAAGCTGATTTATAAACACAGTAGAAAACAACCAGAGGATAAATGGCGTCAATGATGGATGGAAAAAAACATGGAGAAAATAACCACCATTATCAAATTAGGGAAAGAAACCAGGGCTGTCAGCGTTAACCAGTTAATCACATTAATCTCCTGTTTGTCCCTTCAGGCTCTCCGTAGATAGTGGTCCTCAGTGTCTCCCTGTAGTCTCACTGATGGACAAGAAGAACACTGCTGCATCTTTGAACGTCTCATTTCACTTTAACAAACTCTCAGACAGCTCAGCTGACCAGTCCAAAGTAACATCCACCTGATGACATCACACATTGACCTTTGTTACCGTTCATTTGAGCTGTTTGACCTTAGTTTGGGATCCCTAACCACTTCCTGTTTCTGTGCTGAACTTCATATCCTAATATCCTTCCGTCTACCAGAAGGGCCTTACTTAATTTCAAAATAAAAGCACACAGCCAGTAAGGTATTCTCAGCTTAAGACCGGGCAAACATTCAAAATAAAAGCCCAACAACTTTTATTTATATCTTAAAATCTTAAATAGACAATAATCACTTCCGTGCTTTAGTTTGAAAACGGACCACAGACAACAGTACTGCACCATAAAGATGAGGAAACTGTGTTCTACATCTCAGCATCACACCAACCATGCAATCTATAGCTTATCTGAAGCTGTGTGTATAAACTGAGGGCTTTACAGATCACACTGTTATGTTCTGTGCAGGCTCAACACACCAGCATAAAGTCTCACTGTGACTGCTTCGGATGGTCGGACAACGTAACCACGACTCAATATTACATTCATATTTTGTAGTGTCATACAGGAAGTTGAATGCAGTTCAACTTTCTGATGCTTTCTGTTGGACAGGCAGGAGCCAAGCATCGGCAGTTAGCTTGTGCTAGCTTGCAAAATCTCAATTACAACAAATGTTATAACCTCAGCAGTAAACGCACACGCTACATCAAGCAGCAATGAGCCCAGGAGGAGGGGCCCAGTTTGAATGTTGGGTTGCAACGAAAACTGCAACGAACATTACTACTGATACTACCTTTAAATGCATAAACCAAAATAATGTAGTGGACACATCACATCCATCACCTGCAGATTTCTGATCACATGCTGATTTTTTAACATGTGTGAGGCATTCACTGAGGTTCTACTCAAAACTCATATACCGATGCTTATCTAGGAGGGCAAAAATGTTGCATGATCCAAAAGCATCAACAGCCAACCAGAGAGGAACATTTCTACAGACTGGAAACATGCAGTTAAACGTTACTTATCATAGTTTATCTAAAGGTTCCTGTAATCTTAAAGTCACTCCTCAAAGGGCAGCAGTAGAGAGTGTTTCTGCACGAGGATCTTTGACGTCAAAATGATTGTGGATCCTTGCATTGAGATTTGTGCGACCTCCACAGAGTCACCAGAAGCCTTCACCGTGTTGTGACTTTATGTTGGTGTTTAAGGTGCGTTACACAGCGTGTCACAGGGAAACAATCAGCTGGTGTTATGGACGTGCAGCATGCAAAAGACGAGGAAAGCAGCAAAGGCATTTCTACCAGGAACACATGTAGGGTTCCTTAGTACAGAAGCGTCTCTCTGCGTGTGCTATATACTCTTAGTGGTATTTTATAAACAAAATGAATCAATAATATCACAGGAGAGTGATGCTTCTTAAAGTGGGAACGGACGTGTGTGTATTCACACTGCAAGCTACTCAAGAGAACTTGGAGCTTCAGGTCTTGTCCACATGTAGGCTGTTTTTTTTAAGAACAGAAGTTTTTCTCCATTTTTTTAAATAATCTGTTTAAACGAGCTGATTTCTCAAAAACATCTTCATCCACATGAAAACACATTGATCTGGCTGTCCTGAGCACTCCAAGTCAACAATAATGTCCTCGACATGAGAACGTTTCCTCGCCATTCCTCTTGTCATAGTGTTGTATGAAGCAGCAGTGACCTCCGTAGACCAATCAGGCGTCTCTACTCGTCAACATAGTGGGAGAGAAACTGTGTATGTATGTGTGAGCGTGTAAGAAGTCCAGTTAGCAACATTAGCACCAGCGCTAGTTTGGTTACGTCGGCCATCCCCCTTCACTCTGGAAGGAGTTTTAAAGAAGGTGAGTTCACAGTGACCTAAACGAACAGGTAAAGCTATGTTTTCAAAAATACCCGCCTACGTGTGGACGAGGCCTCAGTCTGAAAACACTTCAATACTCTGCACAACACTCCTGATGGTTAATGAACATGTAGCTGCCTGCAGTGTGAACACAATCACATGTGAGTTTATTCTCAACTCTAAACTTTTCAAAAACATGAAGAATGCATCTTCACTCTCTTGTTTTCTGTCTTCTTTGTATTTATGAGCCACAGAAGCTGGTTCTTCATAAAACAACTAATGGGAAACAAAGTGAAAGAGTAGAACCTCTTAACAGTGGAACAAGGGATGGTAGAGAGATGTTTGTGTGTGTTTGTGTCTGGTCACAGTGGGTGGGTGGGGGGTTGCGGTGCTGCAGTGAAGTGAACAGGTGAGGGGAGTATTTCTCTTACCTTTACTTGAGGAGACTGCAGCTTCTGGTACATTTCCAGGGAGTAGTGATGGAGCCAGATCTCCACAAACATCTTAAGAAAACACACATTTGGTCTGAATTTCAAACAGGTCAAACACTAAATACGTTATCTGTTAAAAAGATATTCAACAGATTTTTATATCATTCAAAATATATCAGGGTTACTGCACACTTCTTACATTAAATTTAAGGCTTTCTAAGAAGAACGAATACTCTTTTTTCACCGTGTTGCGTCAGTGCTTCTCTGATTCATGCTGGACTCAGCTGCTTTGATTACCTTTAAAAGCTTGTTTGCATATCCTTCAAGTTGCCTCGTAATCATTGTTTGACAAACATTCCCTGATTTTCATCTTAAAATTCCTGACTTTTTGATTCTGTGTCCTACCTGTAAGAGTGTTTCAGACCTCCAGATCTCCTGGGCCGAGGGGTCTGCGTTGACTGACGGCTGATGGAATATGTGATGCTTGAGGAGACTGGGACTGTGGACGCCATAACCAGCAAAAGAAACACTGGAGGACCTGTGGAACAGGATTTTGTTCATCGATATGTTTGTTTAGGTAAATACAAACCTAATATTTAAGTTGTAATATGAGAATCTTCAGGCAGATTTATTAAACCTGTCTTAATACCTTGGAGAAGGTGCAGTGACTGATCCTCTGGAGTCCAAGAAAGGGGACGGGGGAACATTTCCTTCACTGGGGAGGAAGTATTTGAGGTAGGTGTCCACAAGCACAAAGTAGGCGCTGTCAGTGGAGCTCCCATGATAACCCTGAGGGTAGATCTGAAAACAGAGAGAGAGGGGGATTGTGCTCATTCTTCAGAAAGCAGCCAGCAAACACTCAACATGAGTTCATGCTTGTTACAAATATAACAGGACAGGAATGAAAAATGGATTCTGTATAACCACTGAAAGAACTCAACAGCATTAAAATAAATATATATCATCTGCAAAACTCAAAATTCTGTTTTGAGCATTCAGACTGTCGTTTAATAGAACTGTCCCTGTGACGTCTTGCCTTCACTTTGAATGTCATGGAGGTGTAATGGGGGGACAAAGTGATCCCTCCTCTGTATCCACTTCAAAAGGAAGTAACAGAGACGTTACAGGGGCGAGGCGTGATTGGTTGAGCCAGTGTGGGAGCACAGTGCTGTGTGTGTGTGTGTGCGTGCGTGCGTGCGTGCGTATGTAGGATTCAACGTCTTGTTTTATGTTATGTTTGTATGCTCTCTGTCAGGGGCAAATTCCCCCTAGAGGTAATAAAGGTTTTATTCATTCATTATTATGTTGTAGAATTGCACTCTGAAAAGGGCTAACCCCCCCATGATGATCAAAGAGGACTAAACTAGGACGTTGGCTGCAGGTAAACTCACCTTTGGCGTGATGAGACAGTAGGCAAAGTTGAACATGAAGAATTCAAAAGGATCTGAAGAACGTTTAGGAACAATCAAACATCACAGCTGTGGTAAATTGTACACTGTTGAAAGTAGTTTTGTTCAAGCAGAAACTGAGAAATCATGCTACATATCCTCGGCTTCCAGCACTCTAACATGAAGAGATCATGTTTTTACTGGATATATCCTGATACTCTTATTTGCTTCATAACTATCCTGTGTGTTAAAAATAAGACCTGTTGATGAGCTGTGGGAAGTAGACATTCATTTCCATCGATGATTAATCAAAGACCAAGTTTTAAATGTATGTGTTATTAAACGTTATCAACAGCAGAACTGATCAGTCAGATTTGGTCACATAGACTTGTCATGAAAGGTAAGAGAACAGTTAATATAAATAAAATATACTGAGTCAAACACACACTGAACATGTTTTGCAAAGTGTTAAAGTACTACACCACGTGTACACTGAGTCATCACGGGGAAGCCTTCACAGAGAACCCAGACAGATCAATGTTTGTGTTTGGAAGGATACTGAGAGCAAGGTTCAGCGACAGCAGACCAGACAGGGGGAACTGCAGCTTGTTGTGGAAAAGGGGGCAGTCTGGGAGGACTCCCTCCTGGATGCAGGCCTTCACAGGACCCTGAGAGACACACAAAGATGAAGATTAAAAATCTAATTTTAAACTAAGAAGTAGGCAGAGATGGATACTCATCCAATGAGATACTTCAGACTGTCATAGTAGAATCAAACATGGTGCTCACTGTAGAATAATTACAACAGAGTGAAAGGAAGCAGGAAAAACCCAGAGTGCGCTGATATCTACAGGAAGCAGTGAGGAACAGACATGATCTTACCGGGAGATAATTGACGGGTACTTCATATTTATACTCTTCTGCTTGTAGTTTATACACAAGCTTCATCATTGGCCCGCTGAAAAACAAAATCAGATTTTAATTTGTTACGGGGGTTTTGATTTATGTGAGCACACGTTTGCACTGTGATCGTTCAGACGGGCTGTGAGCACCTCGGGTTCAGAAACTCCATTACGATGTTGTACTCATGGTTCCGTGGATGAAGAAGCCGCAGGTTCCAGCCAGCGATGATGCCGTCCAGACTGCCAAACACACACTCCACCAGCCAGGGGAAGATCAAGTGCAGCTCCTGAAAGCACAGAGATTGATTAAGGTCATAAAAGTCTGATTATAAATATAATTTTGGAAAAATACTAAGATGCCCCAAACGATTCATGTCAGCTTGAAGTGTCTGAATATTTCTGCTCAACTGAGCCACATTTTGATTTATCTGAAAGTTCAAAGTTGTCGATCCAAACCTGATTTGTTCTACATTTTAAGTTTTGACTTTAGACTGGTTTCTGGTTACACCACCAGGAGAATTTGCACACAGCACCAGTAAAGGGAGTTTTTTTATGGGACTGAAGCTGTTTTCAAAGTTTGGGTGATTTTCCTGATGGACACAAACAGACAGAAATGACAACTTAAACTTAGTTATTGTCATTAAAAGGAAAAAGCAGAAACGGAGACATCAAGGAAGTGAATCTGGTTAACAGAGTCAGCAGAGGGAGACTATTTGAACTTCATTGATCCCCAGCAAGGAAACTCAAAGCGCCTTTCACTGTCGTATCGCTCTGAAGTCTCTGACCACAGAGTCTCACTGTCCCGACAGACACAGATTCACCTGCTGGTCTCGCCTAATCCAAATGGATTTTGTTGAACAATCCACCTCAGAGCGTCTTCTCAAGTATTTGGGCTCACAGTTTGCTCTGTCTGTGTTCAGGCACAGCACTATGGTGCCCTGGAAACCCCCCTCCCCTCCCCTCAGCGGTGTTGTGTTGGTGAAATCCACCCACAGCCGTTACATTACACCAGTTTGTAATCAAGAACTGTGTTGGGTCTGTCAATAACATGAAGAGTGATTACTAAACGTAATCAGCTCTGCACACACACAAGAATCTGGTGCTCTGAAGTTGCTGACCGGAGTCTTTGGTACATTGAAGACACGGACGCAGAGTACAACGCCACTCACTCATGTCCTGTGAATCTGCTGCACAACAATCCTCCTTTGTTTCACCTACTGAAGCTACAACAGCTGCTCTCAAACAGAAGAGGGGTATTTCTGAGCACAAATATCTCTACTAACACACACTGTAAGTGCACTGCTAATTATCCATAATGACACGACGTGAACACAACAAAAACCTGGAAGGAGCAACTAGAATATCACAGTACATGTTTGTGACACAGTGCACATCTCTTCCTATTAGCAAAGATTCAATCACAGTGTAAAGTACAAAGTCCCTCAAAGAGAAAGTAAAGACTCAAAGTGAAACTCAGAGGTCAAAGTACGAGCAGCTGTCTCTGCATGTCACAAACCCTTCACATGAAAGGTTAGGTCAGACTGCTGGATCCAGCAAGAGACAAGCAGCTGATCCAGTCTGTAATGTGGTGTGATGATGGCTACAAATCCAACAGCATATGTTTTCAAATATCTCCAACTAAGAAGCTTGTCCAAACAGACTTACACAGTTACTTACTCATCACAGTGGTCAGTCATTTCAGTAAGTATGGCTGTAAAAGAAGTGAAAAGGAAAGTATTTTGGGGAGATGTAAGCGTACCTTTGCAGGATACTCTTCGATAATCTTCACCAGATCTTGGCATCGTTGGAGGAGCGGTTTGGTGGTTGAATCAGTTTTAAGATTGGCCTGAATCAACAAGAAGAAGACATGAATGAGTCTTTTTCACATACCTGTAAACCTTTTTCTTCACCCTGTGTGACTGCTTCCTTTCTGTATTTGGGTACTTATGTTCCATAGTGTGATAAATACACTTCAGCATGTTTCTCTTACACTAATGTGTGTCTCTGCTGTGAGTACACCTCTTAAATAAAACTGATTCTGCAGAGTTTTAAAGGATCTCATCTTTTAAGATACTCACCAGAAGGAAGCTGGGCTGTTGAAGTGTTGGAGCAGCCATGAAGGAGTCTTAAAGTTGATTTCTCTCTATGTACAGATCCAACCTGAACGATGTAAACACAGGAAAAAAACATTTTAAATGATAGTTTCCGTTAGTTTGAAACGGAAAGTAGCCGAGCTGCTTTGTTAGCTCCTCTAACAGAGAACAAACTTGACCTACTGATGCTAACTAATGCTGTGGACACAGGTTGATATCTGTATTTACAGGTAATCCGATAACAATGAGGCTCATTCAGCCGGCAGACAGTCAGAGTCAGTGAACCATGAGAGGCTAACTAGCAACATGCTAACAGACTTAACCGGAAAAGAGACTCAAACTGACTCTCATCCCGCCGTCCTTTATGAACATGAAGCGTTAACACTGAGTAAAGTTACACAGAGTAAAGTTAACATCTCGTTACCCTTCGCTGCTGGTGATATTTCTATATTTCCACTACTTTCCAACCAAGTGCGTTTCCATTAGTGTAGTTCAAACACGACCGAGCGTGCAGCAGCCGTTGACGTCTTCTTCGTTGGTGGTTTCGTCGCTCGTCGTGTTGTTGCTCATTACCGCCACCTTCTGACGTCATCCGCCAATCTGCACCTGCACCGTGTGATAACTGTATGTACACTTTTCACTGACAAAGGTCACAACGTGCTTTACAGCAACAACAACAAACAACATACATATAATAAAGATAGTTCATAGACCGACATGTTTTATATTTATACTTACTTTTTATTATTATTAATATTATAGTTTTTATTTATCCTTTAACCACTTGTTTCTATTTCTTTTTCTGCTCTTACCTTCTTATTGCTGTTATCTTTTCATTTGCTTTCATCTCTTTTAGTTTCTTACATCTTTTTAAATCTTTGCTCCTCTTGGTCTCAGCTCGTGTTGTTGGGTTCTTGTGTTGCCTGGGTTCTTATGATGGTTCTTATGATGGTTCTTATGATGGTTCTTGTGATGGTTCTTATGATGGTTCTTGTGATGGTTCTTATGATGGTTCTTATGATGGTTCTTGTGTTGCCTGCGTTCTTATGATGGTTCTTATGATGGTTCTTGTGATGGTTCTTATGATGGTTCTTGTGATGGTTCTTATGATGGTTCTTGTGTTGCCTGCGTTCTTATGATGGTTCTTATGATGGTTCTTATGATGGTTCTTATGATGGTTCTTGTGATGGTTCTTATGATGGTTCTTGTGTTGCCTGCGTTCTTATGATGGTTCTTGTGATGGTTCTTGTGATGGTTCTTCTGATGGTTCTTATGATGGTTCTTATGATGGTTCTTATGATGGTTCTTGTGATGGTTCTTGTGATGGTTCTTGTGATGGTCTTATGATGGTTCTTATGATGGTTCTTGTGATGGTTCTTATGATGGTTCTTATGATGGTTCTTGTGTTGCCTGCGTTCTTATGATGGTTCTTATGATGGTTCTTGTGATGGTTCTTATGATGGTTCTTGTGATGGTTCTTATGATGGTTCTTATGATGGTTCTTATGATGGTTCTTGTGATGGTTCTTGTGATGTTCTTGTGATGGTTCTTATGATGGTTCTTATGATGGTTCTTGTGATGGTTCTTGTGATGGTTCTTATGATGGTTCTTGTGATGGTTCTTATGATGGTTCTTATGATGGTTCTTATGATGGTTCTTGTGATGTTCTTATGATGTTCTTATGATGGTTCTTGTTGCCTGCGTTCTTATGATGGTTCTTATGATGGTTCTTATGATGGTTCTTATGATGGTTCTTGTGATGGTTCTTATGATGGTTCTTGTGATGGTTCTTATGATGGTTCTTGTGTTTCCTGGGTTCTTATGATGGTTCTTATGATGGTTCTTATGATGGTTCTTGTGATGGTTCTTATGATGGTTCTTATGATGGTTCTTGTGTTTCCTGGGTTCTTATGATGGTTCTTATGATGGTTCTTATGATGGTTCTGTGTTTCCTGGGTTCTTATGATGGTTCTTGTGTTGCCTGGGTTCTTATGATGGTTCTTATGATGGTTCTTATGATGGTTCTTGTGTTGCCTGCGTTCTTATGATGGTTCTTATGATGGTTCTTGTGTTGCCTGCGTTCTTATGATGGTTCTTATGATGGTTCTTGTGTTGCCTGCGTTCTTATGATGGTTCTTATGATGGTTCTTGTGTTTCCTGGGTTCTTATGATGGTTCTTGTGTTGCCTGGGTTCTTATGATGGTTCTTATGATGGTTCTTATGATGGTTCCTGTGTTTCCTGGGTTCTTATGATGGTTCTTGTGTGCCTGGGTTCTTATGATGGTTCTTATGATGGTTCTTATGATGGTTCTTGTGATGGTTCTTATGATGGTTCTTGTGTTGCCTGGGTTCTTATGATGGTTCTTATGATGGTTCTTGTGATGGTTCTTATGATGGTTCTTGTGTTTCCTGGGTTCTTATGATGGTTCTTATGATGGTTCTTGTGATGGTTCTTGTGATGGTTCTTATGATGGTTCTTATGATGGTTCTTGTGTTTCCTGGGTTCTTATGATGGTTCTTATGATGGTTCTTGTGATGGTTCTTATGATGGTTCTTGTGATGGTTCTTATGATGGTTCTTGTGTTTCCTGGGTTCTTATGATGGTTCTTATGATGGTTCTTGTGATGGTTCTTATGATGGTTCTTATGATGGTTCTTGTGATGGTTCTTATGATGGTTCTTATGATGGTTCTTATGATGGTTCTTGTGATGGTTCTTATGATGGTTCTTATGATGGTTCTTATGATGGTTCTTGTGATGGTTCTTATGATGGTTCTTATGATGGTTCTTGTGATGGTTCTTATGATGGTTCTTATGATGGTTCTTATGATGGTTCTTGTGTTTCCTGGGTTCTTGTGATGGTTCTTGTGATGGTTCTTGTGATGGTTCTTGTGATGGTTCTTATGATGGTTCTTATGATGGTTCTTGTGATGGTTCTTATGATGGTTCTTATGATGGTTCTTATGATGGTTCTTGTGTTTCCTGGGTTCTTGTGATGGTTCTTGTGATGGTTCTTATGATGGTTCTTATGATGGTTCTTGTGATGGTTCTTATGATGGTTCTTATGATGGTTCTTATGATGGTTCTTGTGTTTCCTGGGTTCTTGTGATGGTTCTTGTGATGGTTCTTGTGATGGTTCTTATGATGGTTCTTGTGATGGTTCTTGTGTTTCCTGATGGTTCTTATGATGGTTCTTATGATGGTTCTTGTGATGGTTCTTATGATGGTTCTTGTGATGGTTCTTGTGATGGTTCTTGTGATGGTTCTTGTGTTTCCTGATGGTTCTTGTGATGGTTCTTATGATGGTTCCTGTGATGGTTCTTGTGATGGTTCTTGTGATGGTTCTTGTGATGGTCAGGTTATATATGTCTGTTGGGTATCGTGCACTTTGGGTTCTTTTCTGTTGAATTGTATTTAATTATTTTTAGTATTTTACATTTGTTATGTTCTTGTTGTTGTTTATGTTCTTCTGTGTTTGTTTTTGTTTGTTTTTGTTTTTGCTGTTTGTCAAAGCACTTTGTAAACCTGTGTTTTTAAAAGCTGCTATATAAATAAAGTTATTATTATTATTATTATTATTATGAAATCCTGTTATGACCAGGAGCAATAATTGGCACATTAAAACATAGATCAGTAGGTAGACTGGGTGGAAATGATTACCCAAAGGCCTGTCTAAAGAACGAGATGGGCAGGGAATTCCAAAGGATTGGTGCTATAGCAGTAGACACACGAGTGTGTCTGACCGACAGCAGGTTAGGGTGTTGGACCTTAGGGAACGGGTTGGTGAATACAGGTGAATGACCGCTGACAAATATTCTGGGGCCTGACCGTGAAAGCCTCAAAAAGTGAGGGTGTGAATTTAAAAGCTTCAGGGAGCCGGTGCAGAGGTTTCAGTGTGGGAGTGTGGGACTTATCTTGCTCAAATAAACAAACCCTGGAGTGTTTAATCTTTTTTATTTGACATCACTTAGTGGCTTTTTTCACACAGTTTGATACAAATTCATCACTCTTGATCTCAGAAGCTTCTTAGAGTTTCATATAAACAGTCAGAAAATGAACTAATTTCTAGAATATAAAGAAAGAAAACTATCAAAAATAGAGTTCTTTAATATACACTGGTGTAACAATAACAATAATAATAATAACTAGTTACATGGCAGTTTTAATCAAAGCTATACATCATATGTTTCTTCAAGCAGGCTCCATGTGTGTGTTCTCCACTGAGGCATGAATACATTATTTTATCTGTGTTAATGAGTACTACACTTCAGAACCAGCATAAATACACGTTATTAATAAACAGTTTAATGTGTAGCAGTACAATGGGCAAACACTCTTCATGTTTAGTCTTAATTTACGGTGTAAATAAATACAGAGAGAGTTATTATGAATCCGTCTGCATTGTGGGTGAGATCCTGATACACGTTCGTCTTTGTGGCGGTCCATTATTCGCAGCTTTACAAGAAATCTAATGTCATGTATCTGCTGCTGTTGTTCAGATGCATCACTCTCACCAGACTGTATAATATGTAACTCTGACACCTAGTGTTTAAAATGGGTACTGCAGTCTAAATTCTAAACATTATAGAGAGCTGTCTCCCCCCACCCCTCCTCCTCTCTAGAGTCGATGCTCACTCAGGTCACCATGTGGTGGACTCTGAAGCTTCAGTGTTTATCCAGCTCTGCATGCAGCTCTGGGGCGTCCAAAACAGATGTGTGGGGGCGGGGGGGGGTCGCCTTAAAAGCGCCTACCTTCTCTGGTCCAAACAAATCCAGAACATTCAGGAGCAGAATCTAAAGTTAGAAGGAGGACATACTGGCTGCTGCATTGTTGTCAGAGAAGCCAGCACTTCAACATAGCATGTTTCCTTAATGATCAGATAGTAAGATACCTTTATCATCTCACTCTCTACACATCTCACTGATTGGACCTTTAGGCTAACGGGAAGGCGTAAATGTTAGGACCAGTACAAGTGGGTCATCTGATAAAATCACGTAACATAATCCTGGTTTTATCTAGATAAAATCTCCAGTTTGTGTTGTTCAAAACTTTTTACTTTTTAAGGATTGGGATAACTCATGAAAATAAATTTTGGATGATTCAGATCCCTGTGGAGCAGTGGTTCTCAACTGGTGGGTTGGGGCCAAAAAGTGGGTCTAAAAATGGTTTCAGTGGGTGGCAAATGTGTCGGAAAGTCTCTGAGGTCCAAACTGCTCTATGTTTTATTAGATAAATCTGATTGGTTGAAGAATATCAGACATTTGGGGGCTGCAATTTCTCATTAAGATGTTGGTGGTGGGTCCTGGGGTTATAACAGTTGAGAACCACTGCATAAAGAGCTGGATTCAGACTGGATTATGGAGTATAATTTAAGAAAACAATACAATTTCTCAAACAATACAACATATTTTCAAGGTTTTCAAGACATTTTTATAATCTATTTTACACGACAATGACAGAGAAGATTAGGTAGACATCAAGGCTGAAGGATTCTGTCTCTTTAACATCAATATTAAAAGATAAATATCTAATTCAAAGTTACTGTGAGGCTCTTTCAGGTTGTGTGAATGTTGGCACTCCCTGTGGACAAAGCATGTAGTGTGATAATCTGGATTTAGTAATCCTCTCGACTCTGCATCTGGATCAGGGTCAATAAATGAGCTGGATTACAAGATCCTCGGTAGATCACCAGCTCCAGATCGTTCCTATCCACATCAAACCGTTTGATGCGAACATGCTCGTCTGAATCTTAAAGTTACAGAAAACATTCTTTAATTCTAATCTAATCTAAACCACGTCCTAAACAATAACGATTATTGGTATTAAAATAAATTCAGAGAAAATTTGCTCTATCTACATTTCTTGAGTTCTGCTTTGTCGTATTGTGAAAATATTGAGCACAGAGATAAACTAATGTCTCTGTGATTCTCTGTCAGTCTTTAAAGGGTTAATATGGGGGGTGTCACTTTACAAGGCGGCGTCATTTGCTGAAAAAGCAAACAGTCTGAAATCTTTCATTGTCCTCTGCGTGTACAGGACCTGTCAGTCTTTTTTTTATTCCCCCAGGAGACTAAAGAGGAACCTCAGGAGGGTTGTTCCTCCTCACCCGGGCTTTCCTGCTCTCCTGCTTCAGCTTCAGAGTGCGCAGTTTCTGCTGCCGCCGCTTCTCTCGGTACCACAGCTGCTCACAGTACTCGTCCACGCTCAGACTGTTGGTCCCCACCATTTGCAGGTCTTTGTAGCTCCTCAGAGGAAGCTGCTGAGGATGCTGGGGCAGCCACGAGTTCCTGTGTCCTGGCAGTAGAGCAGGGGATGGATGAGAAGAACCCGCCCGGCCCAGAAACCCAGCAGCCCCTACTCCAGCTGTTCCGATGTGTGCGAGGGCCACGTGCTGGTTTGGGTTGTGGTTCTGCTGGAAGCGGGTTGGGTTGAGGCTGTCGTTGGAGATGATGTGAACGCGGTATCGGGCCAGGACCTGGCTGTAGGAGTGTTCGCGGCTGAAGCAGGTGTAGAGGCCCGAGTCAGAGAGCTCCAGGTGCTGAACCAGCAGCCCGCGCTTCATGTGGATGGAGCGGTGGTCATCGCTGAGCTAAGAGACGGAGAGAGGGAAAACACAGACAAGAAAATGATGCTCAAGATGTCAGTTCACTCTCTAAATTCACCTGCAGAAAATCCATCAGACTCACATTGTTCAAGCTGCAGTGTTCAACCTTCAATTCAACATACATCCATTAAATATTGCTCACATAGTTCTACAATTCTACAATTCATTTAGCAGACTCTTTTATCCAAAGCGACGTACATCAGAGAGTAAGAACAACACAAGCAAGGATCTAGAAAAAAGGGAACAATGTGAGTAAGAGCAAACGATCAGCTTTGAGTCTGATTGGACACACAGGTGCTGACAGGAAGTGACCAGAGGCAAAGCACAACATTGAGGGCAGTTTTTGAGAGCTCTAATCAGTATAGAAACCATCTTATAAGTCGTGGTTATCAAACAAAAACCATCGTCATTACCATCATCATCATCAATAATATGGAGACCATCATCATTAAGTTAGTAGGTATTCATGAAAGAGCTGGGTCTTTAGCTTTTTCTTAAAGGTGCAGAGGGACTCTGCAGATCACATGGAGTTTGGAAGTTCATTCCACTTACCACAGTTCTTTTGTTTCGGAGTATAAAGGTGCAACAATCAGACAAGAAGGTGGACACACACGTTGGCCTTTCTATCTTCAGCTGACACCCAGTGGTGATGCTACAGTCTGTAGGGGCCCTATGCCAAAATCAATTGGGGGGCCCTCTAACCAGCGTTCATCACCACTACGTCTGTCAGTGTTCTGATGCTAACTGTATCTTTTTCTCTTTCTCTCTCCTGTAGAAGGATAAGTCCTCTTCATTTTTCTTTATTGACTTTGATTGAAAATCTTTGGTTTTGCAGGGCAAAGACAGTGAGTGCTATCAGACGGGGCCCACTTAGGGAGGTTTCCTAATTTCCTACTTTCATTGCAAAATTTGCACATTTCAGGCCACTGCTTTAATATAAGTTTGTGAGCTCTCAGGGGCCCCAAGCAGGTGCCACCTGCTGACACCTGCAGCCCATCCTCTCCTATTACTTATTTTAACTGTAATCTAAATTGTTTCTGTAAAGCACTGTGTGTTTCCCCTTGTGCATGAAGGTCTGCCTTTTCACTACAAAGATTTGTCCGTACCAATCCCTCAGTTAGACACAGTCTCTTTGTTTGTGAGTGTTAGCTATCAGACGAGAAATTAAAACATTCTTTTAAAAGAAACAATATAACTGTCTGACGTTTGCAGGATCATTCATTAAGACAGTGCTCGACGTACCTCTTTGGTTTCTTGTGTGCGGCTGAGAGTCTGCTGCTGGCTCTCCGCGTGCTGCACCGTCCACCTGACCTCGGCCTGCGGCGACCGAGGAAGACACTCCAGGAAGGTAGAATTCCCCTCCACGCCGTATACCGACTTCACCTCCACAGAGTCTAAATCTGAAAGAGCAACAGAGGGGAAAATAATCAATACAAAAAGTCAGCTTGTTTGGTTTGGTCACTCTGCATTTGAAACAGAGGGGATTATAAGGAAAAAGAGGAGGCAGAGAAAACTGCAATTACACTGTTAAACCTCTAGAGTACGCCCTTCTTCTACCTGCAGGAAGAGTAGAAGAGTAATGGAGGGTATCTCGATGAGTATTTTCAATCAGTACCGTTTGATTTAGTTCATGGTTGTTCACATATAGAATTTGTATTCTGCAAAGAAAGCTTGAATGAGAGACGACTTTACCAACTGAGCCTCAGCCGTCCCAATTTCATTTTGACATTTTAAATTCCCTGATTGTGCACACAAATTAAAACCAAACATATTCTGGTTTTATATTTTTATATATCAATTATATTTATATATAAATATAATAAAAATATAATGTAAAGGTTACAGTTTTAAATATATATATATATTTTTTTTTTGCAGTTGTGATGAAGTCTTTAATCAACTCTTTATATTTCTTCGATCTCTTTCAGGTTGTTTATAGTTTGTCTTTGGTAAGTTTTCCTGCCACCTTTTCAAGGTGAGAATAACAAAAGACTGCGTGGGACAGCCGTGGGTTTCCATGGAGACCAAATCTATCAGGTGAAACAGACGCTGACGAGTGATTCAATGGAGGATGTGCTTTACTTCATTCTGTCGTCCCATCTAAACAAAACACGCAGTGCCTGGTCCCTCTCGCTCTTTCACTGAGCGCCCCCTACAGGCCATAGCGCTGATTAGCAGCATTTGTCAATTTCTGGTTTTTGACTGTTGTATATGTATTTTTTTTAATGTTTTTGCAGCACATTTGATGTTAGTGCATTTGTTTTGGATTTCAGTATGGGCTTCTGAGTTTGCATAGTTTTTAAATTTGCTGCACAGCTGCTCTTGTTGGCGACCGTATGAAACAGTCAAAGGTCAAACTGGAATATATAGATTAAATGTCCGCCCACAATATTCTGTGTATGGATGAAATAAATGACAAGAAAGCTTCAGACATTTTCTAAATTATTATAATTTTATTTTAAAGAAGTAAAGGTTTTATAACCACACAATACAGTTTCAGTGACCCCCCAATCCCAACATACTCCGTCGGACAGCGTGCGCCCTGCCCCACCCGGATCAGTTTCTGGAGTGTGAGCGCAGCCATGAGCAGCTGTACTCACATCACAGGAGAACTACAAGATCAGGTGGGAATAAGGAGAAAAAGCGTGCAGACAACATGTTGCTTTGTCTTTCTGAGGATGATTTGTTGTTCATTCGGTGCCTGTTTTGATGTAATGTTGAAAAAAGGTGAAAAATACGAGAGTCTGTATTTTGTGTTCTATTTTGAAATTGACCGGACGCTCTGTGTGTTTCCTTGTCTGACTTCCTGTCCAGGTCGTTCTATTCTGTCCAGCTTGACGTGTGCCTGCAGCGTCCTCTGTCAAAAAATAGACTTGCAGCGTATTTGAAACAGAAGAGCGTAGTGACGCTGGTGGAACGCACCAGAGACGGACTGCGGCGCTCGCTGTGGAAACACAATCATTGACTAGTGGCAGCGCACTAGGGCGTAATGTGCAGCCCTGACGGCGTGCACAGAGTCTGTGGAAGTTGGAGGTTTTCATCGAGCCTCGTCTTCATTTTTTATATCAGTTAACAAGAAATGGTTTAGATAATCTAGTTTTTGTGATTTCCTTTCTGATCATAATCTTGGATCCAAACAGCTTTCTAACTGACTGTGAGGATCCAGACTGAGGACGGCCCTCTAACATGCAGTTCATACTACTCATGCAGGTTGAGCATGATGTCACTGCGGACAGGAACGACTTTAAAACAGAGACGCTTTATTCAAATCTCAGGGAGGAAATCCTCACCGTCCTCTGTGATTGGACACTGACTCCAGGGGTCTCCGTACTTTACATCCTGTCTCCGCGCCCTCCTGAAACACACACACACACACACATGGACACACACGCACACACACACACACACACACACACACACACACACACACGCAGACACACACACACACACACACACACACACACATTTTTAGAATATTCATCTTGCTGTTTCATTCAGAAACTTTACACATATATCTTCAAATGAGGTGAATTTAATCTTGTCTATAATTTCACTTTCATTGCATTTTACTTTCTTAAATATCGTGTCTGTTGTCCCGTGTGAACGAAAGTGAAATGTAGGTAAGTATGTGTGAGTGAAGTGTGAGACAGCAGACTCATCAGTTCCACGGCAGCTGACAGCCGTAGATTGTGTGGCTGCCTTCAGATAAAGTGTTATAACCTCCTCTCTGTGTTGTTACTGGTCGCCTGCCGGCTCCTCAGAGGTGACACTATGAAGCTACTGCGATTATGAACGAGGAACCACAGAGCAGGAACAGGCTAAGAAAACACAGATTGTTGTTTCAGCCAGAGTAAAGAGTGTTGTCATGTCTCCTCCCTCTGTGCTCCTCTGACTCTCAGCTTCCTGTCCCCCCCCTCCCCCTTTCTTTGCTTAATGTCCTTAAAGGCAGGGTTGGTCAAAAACTAGCATCATGATTTTGAAAGTAGCATTCCCTCTGTGCTCCCTCATAAGCCACGCCCCCTCACTTACATGCACGAGCGCCGTCGCTCCAGAAGCAGACCTCAGCTCATGCTTTCAGCGTGGTCTCGAGCATGCATGGGGTAGAGAACGAGCAGGGAGACAAGGAGGCGTCTGATTGGTTCATCAGATTGATACCTCGTGGCAGACATTGGTCGAAGTTTTTACAGACTTAAAAACTGATACAGATGATGGATTTACTTTGTTCCTTTTTCAGAGAACATGAGTTATTAATGTCTGTCAGGACCTAAAGACAATTTACACCTAAATCTTGGAAAGGAAAATGACCAACCCTGCCTTTAAGAGGGTAACTACTCTAAGAATCACCAGGGTTTCTGTGTATGTGTGAATACAGCATCAGTGTCTCCAGTGTCTCTCTTCTCCCTGTGCATGTTTTTACCTCTTGCTGGTGGGGAAGTATCTGGAGCAGGTCTGTCCGTCCCAGGAGCAGTAGGGGTCTCTGGCCAGGCAGCACTCGGCGCAGTCGGTCCCGTATAACTCACACCTCTGCAGACCCAGCTGGGCCACACCGAGCTCACTGGACACATACAGCTGTTGCTGTGGAGGAGGAAAACAAGTTGATTAGGCTACTGTGAATTCTTTAACTGCTGCAGAAAGGAGAGGGAGATGACAAGTCAGAGAATCAGAAGCTGGAGTTTAGGTTTTAGATAAGTCAATGGCATTTAAGTTTTATTTGAAGGTGGAGAATTCTGTGAAAGCTGCTCTGTGAATAACCTTACCTCCAGAGAGATTTAAATACATATCATGACTGAATGAATATCAGGTGTACATGCGTCATAAAATGTCAGAGAACAGAGAAAGATCCGGCAGAGGGACGTACTCGTTTGGTTGACAGCTCCATGCTCAGGATTGGAGTAGGACTCTGCAAAAATCAAACAAAAAGTGATAATGTAAAGCATTACACAGAAAAAATACAAGTTTGAAAGCTCATGTTGATAGTAATAACAGAAAAATAAAAATAAATAAATCAGACAATCTTTAATATCCAGAGTAACTGCAGCCCTGAATTTTTAAACATTTCTGAAGAAATATGTAGATTTTGTTTGTTGATTTTTATCCTCCCCATCCAAATTTCCATCAATCCTCTAAACACATGTTATAGTTAGAGGGCAAAGTCCGCCTGAATGTCTTCAGATGTTTCTGTTTTTTCAATTATTATTTTTATCAGAAGTTTGCTCCCAGTTGAAAGTGACAAAAAAATGTATTCATATTTGATTGCACGTCAGGATGTGGAATATACTGAGGATAAAGTTAGATTACAAACTCAGAGGAAAATAAATTATATTTTATATATTGTAATATCTTCTTATACTGTATTATTTAAGCTGTTGCTAGTTCTGATTTATTTCCTTATTAATTGTTTAGCACCAATACACCAAGTCAAATTCCTTTATGTGTAAATGTCCTTGCCAATAAAACCTGATTCTGATTCTGATTCTGATTGAGCTAATAATAAAAAAAACATTAAAAACAAACAATCCTCACGTTCACAGAGCAGCACAAAACAGTTACACCCACAAACCACACATGCGCGTTACACATACTGCATAAAATCTGATGTTAACACATCATAAATAATAAATGATAAAGATAAGATCATCACGTTCTCCTCCATCGTCAACATGAAGCATTATTTAAATCTTTGATTGAGGTCTGAAGGTGACATTAAGCAACAACAGAGACTCTGAAGTACTAAACTTTGTGCAGACAGTCGTGGGATAACGTCAGGAAGGCAGCATGCTCTCTGCAGACCGAGCTGATACTTCAGTCCTGCAGAGTCTGAGGAATGCCTCAGAGTTGCATTAAACTCTGTGGTTGACTTTGAGGTCACGGCAGCTACTGAGATTAGAAATCTAATGAGTCCCTTTTCTTCCCTCTGAGGGCTGAATTACCCCACAGCTCCATTTCTCTGGCTCACTGACTTGTTTCAACATTTCACAAAGGGAGTTAATGACCCCTGACCGGTGTGAGCAGAGCGGTCGAGAAAGGAGGAGGAGGAGATAAAGGAGACAGGGAGTATGACTTAAAGGGAAGGAGGAAAGGTAGCAGAGTATCCTGAGTTCTGTCACAGCCGCCAAACTGACCCAATACTCAAATGTCTTTGAAACCCAGAACCTCCTCTGGCTCAAATCAGACTCAGGTGGGTAGAAAGCGATTAAATGGACACTGATGTTTGTCTCTGGGCGGTGCAGTCCACTCCAGCTGCTTCACTTTGTCCCTGCTTTTGTGTATGTTGCTGATTGAAATGTTTTAGATCCTGTTTTAATCTCAGTTATAACAAACACACAATGTGCCTCTGGTTTCCTGTTTGTTTGCTCCACATGTTGTTTTCTTACTTCCTGTCACCTGTGTTCTGTTTTAAAGCTCCTGAGCCTCATTTCCTTCAACTCATGTCCTTCGTACTTCTTTAAAGAAGGACATTTTGTTACCTTTACCCCATTTTTGTTTGTGCATAAAATACCCTAAAAGACTCAGAAGCACAGAAAGCTAAAGACCGATTCATACAACAGGTTTGTAGACACCAACTTCTGGTTTTTCCCCGCATCGGTCTAAAGGGTTACTCCACCAAACAGTTTAAAAAAAATAAAAACAGAAAGATGAAAACTTATACATACATCATTAGGCAAGTTAGCCAAATAAATGCAATGAATTTATGTGTGCCTCAATATGGGAGATTCACTTTTGAATTCGGGGCGACCAGAATTATGAAACAGGGCTCAGGTTTAAAAACACAGGTATTTTTCTCCTCCACATTATCACTTCTATTTCCGTCTCCTCTCTTCTTCTCCTCTTTCCATTTTTTTTGGTACAACTATATTTCTGTATTTTGACCTTTTCCTTCATCTTTTTCTGTCCTCCCTCGCTCTACTCTTGTCTCATTTACATGGAAGACCTTGGGAAATATGTGCCCTGCTATCTTTTTTTTCTGTTTGGTTGAGTAATCCCAGACCAAATATGTTCCACTGGAAACTACATGCAAAGGCCAAGTGCAGCACATCACATGGTTTAAGGGCTGGCAGACGGTACACCGGGAGACACCAGAACACACTCTGTGATTTTAGCCTTAAAAGTCCTGTGGAGCATCGTGTGTGTGTGTGTGTGTGTGTGTGTGTGTGTGTGTGTGTGTGTGTGTGTGTGTGTGTGTGTGTGTGTGTGTGTGTGTGTGTGTGGAATCAGATTTTTAAGGATCTGTGGGATCATGTGGAGAAAGTAAACCTTCATGACCTGAAAGTGGTCAGCTTGATTCAGGTAGTTCTGAATGATTTTACATTAAGTATAGAAATGACTGAATGCTGAGTCTCACCTGGAAGACCGTCAGCTCCTCCAGAATGACCTCCTCGTTTTCCCCGTTGTCTTTGACGACCGACACGGCCTTCACCACCTTCCCATCATCTGGAAGAGGAAAGAGAAAAACATTTTCTTAAACGTCAGTACACACAAAATGTATAATCTATCAAATAAGTCCCAGAGCTCCTCAAAACATGTGTGTGAAGTTTCTTGTTCTAAATCCACTCTGATCCTGTATTTGATCATGTCTATAAACCCCTCTATTTCAGCCCTGCTCAGAACAGGCTGTTTCTGTGTCTGTACCTTTAAATATGTAAATGAGCTGTGTCTGACCACGCCCCCTCTCTGGAACGACTTTGGGTGTACTCGGTGCTTTCCCGCTCCATGTCCTATTGTTTACGGTGAGAAGGCAGACTCAGAGGGCAGAACAAACACCTAGCTGTGGAAGTGTCACCCACCTGGGGGAGGGGCTACTGCCCTTTGTGATTTCATGAAGGGAAAATCTCCAAACAGCCTGTTTGAGCACACATTTTCTGAAAAGTGGAGCAGGCAGAAGACGGAGAGGATGGACTTTTCTCATCATTGGGGGGTTTGTAGACAGACTAGAGACACATATTGGTGTTTTAGATTTTAGATAATATGTGACCTTTAACGTTTAAAATCAAGAGGCTCTTCAGTGTCCGGCTGGTTTGAAAAAGATAAAATATTGCTTGTTTATAATTTATTGCTGCATAAAAAAGGTCTACAAGCAGCAGAGAAGAAGAGATGATTCTGCTGACGAGAGTTCAAGGACAGTGACCGAGGTTAAGAGATAAGAATCTGTAAAACTAACAACCTCTCAAACTGTTGTTAGAAAGACGTCCATGCCACTTCTACATGTTATGGATATATTGTGGATATTTCTTCCAGGTTAACATTTCTCTCTCCAATGTTTCAGTAACATGAATAATTGTTAATCCTTCAGCTTCCTGCTTTGAATCATTTCCTAACCATCCTGTTTGAACTCTCAGTTGAGGTCAAACTGTTCCCACATGGAGGTCATCAGGTTCCACGTTTGAATTCTAACAAGAACGACCTTTTGACCTTTTGGGTTAATATTAAAGACCTTCTGTTAGAAGAGGTTATGTGTTCAATGCTCTTTGAAGACCAGATCCATGGATTTGGATCCCCATAGGAAACAGTTCTGTCCCCAGAGAGCCAAGTCCATCAACACCTGTTGACCTGATAACTGCTCCCATATCTGGCAAACCAAGGGGAGTCCAAAACGGCCGTGTGGGGGTTGTCTTAAAAGCGCCTACCTTCTCTGGTCCAAACAAATCCAGAGCATGCAGGAGCAGAATCTAAAGTTAGAAGGAGGACATACTGGCTGCTGCATTGTTGTCAGAGAAGCCAGCACTTCAACATAGCATGTTTCCTTAATGATCAGAGAGTAAGATACCTTTATCATCTCACTCTCTACACAGCTCACTGATTGGACCTTTAAGCAGAGTTGTGGTGGAAATCAGAAGCAATCTGGACAGATTTGGAAAGGCTTTTAAACACACTAGTCTTGTACCAGAATTCCTCTTTTCACAGAAAGTTAAAAGCATGAATGAAATATCTTCTGTGGGAAGAACTGGGATAAACTATGAGCTTTAAACTGCATTAGCAAGCTCCACTTAGTGCATAACCTCTGAGTCAGGTATATATAACTTCCAGAATAAACCACCTCGACGTGAGCACGTGGCTCAGCACATTATCCTTCCTAACTTTCAACACACTGAAAAAAAAGATTATCAGACGACAAGATGAGTGAGGCAGGTAGGAGAGTCTGAAAGTTCCCCGTGATGGACGGATGTTAAAGTGAGAGCACTTGAAAGAGGAACATTCATCAGGCAGGTAAACGAGCAGCTGATGGGGGGATGAGAGACGCTGGAGAGGAATCCACTTAGAGGAGATGTATGGAGCTGTGGGAGCACCTCTGAACCCTCGGCCTGTCACCAGCAGTTAAATAACCTCCACCATTTATCACACACACAGACACAAACACACACACACACACACACACATAAACACACACACACATACCTAAACACACACACGCTAACTTGCAAAGAGCAGACACACTGAAGAACCCAGTCACCCTGTCAGGAGTGTTGCTTTGGGATAAAACAGAAAACGTGTGCTTTGAAGAGATAATGAATGAACACACAGAAGTTTACACACACAACAAAAGAACAGATGAGCGGCGCTCGGTCATCCTGGACGACATGTTAATGACGTACTCAGGTTGAAGTTGAAGCTGAGGAAAGATGTTTTAACTCAGTTTCGTCTCATCTGCTGAACCTTCAATCTCTGAGGTCAAAGGTTTGTGCGTCTCATTTCTCACTGCCGTGCAGGTCGAAGAGCTCAACGCCCAATTTCCCCAAAAATAATTAACTGGGGATTGTTGAAAAAATTAAAAGTGGGTTTAACAAAAAAATAACACTTCCTAAATGCTGCACGTCCGTCCTGTTTCTATGACAACAGTCTGTTGACAACGGCCGCTGTATGACCAACACTGCTCTGTTACTTTTTACAGCATGTTTTATATTTGAGATCGTTTATTTCCCAATCAGACGCGGAGCGAGGAGGATGTGGATACAAGATACGATCTGTTGGCAGAAATACAGGGAATATCATACATTTGGAAAAGTTGAAAGATTTTCAACTTGAACATCCAGAGAGGCTGTGCAAAAACTTTAAAAAAAGACGCTGGGCGCTGCGCTTTTTCTCCAGGCAGCCGCTTTCTGCTGCGAGCGCTCTCTATCCGTTGAAAACAATTAGAAAAAGATGCTGGCACTCAGAAAAACGCGAGGTTCTTCTTTCCCCTCGACTTGCTTTCTCTTAAAGGAAGAGGGTGCGACATGTTCCACACAAATAAATGATAAAGTCTGTCCTGTGTAAATGTGTCTCTGAGTCCTGACTGTCTACAATGAGGGAGAAGCTCGAGTCTCGCTGGCTGTGTTGTTGTCAGAGCCGTGTTTACATGGACGGGACGGCCGGCTCCTCCCCTTGTGTATAAAAGCTGTTTTAGTCAAGAACTAGAGAGAAGAAGAAGAACATACTCACTGATTATTTGGATGTTAGTAAGAGTTTTTAGATCACGCTCATTCTGTGTCAGTTTACATGAAATGTGAAGCTACGAGCTAACTAAAGAGCGCTAACATTAGCATGCTAACACAACAATGTGAAGCTACGAGCTAACTAAAGAGCGCTAACATTAGCATGCTAACACAACAATGTGAAGCTACGAGCTAACTAAAGAGCGCTAACACTGGCATGCTAACACAACAATGTGAAGCTACGAGCTAACTAAAGAGCGCTAACATTAGCATGCTAACACAACAATGCAGGACACAGGTGATTGCAGCTCGAGGACAATTTTGTCCTCCGCTTGCACCAAACTCCTTTGTACGAAGGCGAGCAGAGAGGGGTTGGAGGTGTGTCTCTGGAGGAGAGCGGAGGCTTCAGGATGGAGGAGGCGTGGCCTAACAGCAGTTTGTTTTGGTTTCATGCTGGAGCTCAAGGGCGACATCTACTGGATCAAAAAGTTGCATTCTTCCTTTAATCCCTAACCCCTCACCTGTGCCCAGGTGTAGGACGTCATATGGTCCGTCCTCGGCGTCCACTCGGTCCACTACGACCTTCTTCAGCATGTAGGTCGAGTTGACGTGGGTCAGGATGGGTCTGCCGCTCAGAGGTATGACGGGCTCAAACATCAGCTGGTGCTGCCTCATGAAGCTCACCACCTCGTCGGGGAAGTCCTTCGTAGACTTGTGAAGGGCGTCGTAGGTCTCACTGGGACACTGCAAGAGGAGAAGAAGGTGAGTGAATGTGATGAGAGGTTAAGGCTCCTCAAGACTCCAGTGTAAAAGTTAAAGGAATCTTTTGTTATTTTTTGGTTTTATTTTGTGTTGTCTTCAGCTAAGTTTGGTGTACTTCCTGTTTCGATAAAAACCTTCTTTTATTATGAAAGAAAATAAAAGCAAAGTTATAGGACACGCCCACCAGGAAGCTCATTTAAATTTCCCTGCGTCTGCACAGATAGCTGACCAATAGGAGGAGAGTGGGCACGTGGGGAGGTGGGCCTTAAAGAGACAGTAGCTGAAATGAAGCGTTTCAGGCAGAGGCTGACATGAGGGATTTTACTGACACAACGTTACTCAACAGGTGTCCCAGACTGACATCATGAATGGTCAAAGTGAGGATAATAGATCTCCTTTAAAAAAAAATGTAGAAAGAAAGTTTTCTATTTTGTTGTTCGTCTTGCCGTCTGTGTTTTATCCACTCCGCCTGACCCAAACCTGCCTCTCCTCTCCTCACACACAAACTCTGACGTGGCCGAGCGACTCTGCAATCATCCACATGATGCAAAACCCCCTCTGCACCAAGAGGAGAATTCCCCCCGCAGGGAGAATGAAATAACACCTGACACACTCAAACACTAAAAACCTCCGCCTCCCTGACAGGTTGAGGTTTCCCAGAGGAGTTCACTGCTGGGTGTTAAATCACCGCAGGTTGACCCTCCCACAGCTTCATCAGCTTGTTCCCATTAACGGGGTTTGGAGTCTGATCTCACAGGAAGTTCTCAGTTATTCACACAAACACAAATACCATCCTGTCGACACTTTATTAACGGACGGTTATGGAGTGTGAACTTTAATGAGCATATGGCCAACACCTCGCCCTATTCTTAAAGGACCGGTTCACCCGAAGTAAAAATGTGATCGTGTACTTTATGTGAAAAACAAAAAAAAAAGATTGAATCATATTATACGAGAAAATCTATTGATGTCCCTGGAAACTGTTGGTAAAACGAGTGAGTTCAAGGGATACACAGTTTTAAAAATACTCTCTAGTTGAATTTTGTCGCTCTAAATTAAACCACATCATGTGTTTCTGATTGTTGACACGTGTTTACAGATAACCCTAACCCCCCTAAAGTTCCCTTTAAAGGCTTTATATGTGATTTTTAACACTTAAATGTAGAAATCAAGTCTATCCTCTGAAAATAACTCTGTGAGTCATGACTGTCTACAATGGGTGTAACACCCGAGTCCCACTGTCTGTGATGTTTTCAGAGTTTTCAGAGTCCTATCTTCACTTTGTTTACATCGCCAGGACGGCCGGCTGACTCCTCCCCTCGTGTATAAAAGTTGTTTAATTGAGGGACTAGAGAAAAGAAGAATAACATACTGTACTCACTGCTTAACTGTGTTTCTAGATCACGCTCATGCGATTTTTTGATCCAACAGATGTCGCCCTTGAGCATCAGCATGAAACCAAAACAACTGGCGCTGCATTGTTGTGTTAGCATGCTAATGCTAGCGATCTTTATTCTGCTGGTATCTTCACACTGCATGTAAATTTACCTGAAATGAGCGTGATCTAGAAACACAGTTAAGCAGTGAGTACAGTATGTTATTCTTCTTTTCTCTAGTCCCTCAATTAAACGACTTTTATACACAAGGGGAGGAGTCAGCCGGCCGTCCTGGCGATGTAAACAAAGTGAAGATAGGACTCTGAAAACATCACAGACAGTGGGACTCGGGTGTTACACCCATTGTAGACAGTCATGACTCACAGAGTTATTTTCAGAGGATATACTTGATTTATATTTAAGTGTTAAAAATCACATAGAAAGCCTTTGAGGAGCATTGTTGTTGTTCAGAATAAAATCATAACTCTTGTTCTTTGGGGTTAAAGTTTTGTGACACACCCTGACCTCTCCACAGGGCAGCGGGTGTTTGTAAGCTACTCACAGTTCCAGGTCTGGGATAGGGGATGCGGCCCTTGTACTCCACCCAGCGATAGTCTGGACCTTCTTTATGAGCAAACGGCCCGTTGAACGCCGCTCTTATAGACGCCATGGAGTATACACACACCGCCGAACCACGGAATATGGAGCTGCAGGAGAAAGAGAAGATGGAGAGACCGATTAAAAGCAAAGGATGATGAAGAAGAGGAAAAGGTTGAGCAAATGACAAAAGGGAGAGGAGACGGGTATGTAAAGAACGGCGAGTAGAAGAAGAAAGACGATATATATTCAATGTTCAGTAAATAGTTCATACTGAACAGAGATTCATCCACATAAACACAAGAGAAAGATAGACAGAGTAATCAAAGAGTGAGGGAGAAAAAGAGAAGTTAAAGAGAGGAATGAACAGGAAGTCAGGTGAAGGTGGCAGGAAAGGAGGAGGAGGGATCAAATAGGAGGGGAGGAAGGAAGGATGGATGGGAGGACAGAAACACAGAGCTGAGTTTACTTTATAACATCACATCAGGGCTACAATAACACGACCAGCTGGGCCTCTTCACCTTTAGCCCTGACACCCACCCAAACCTGACCTCTGACCCCACATCCCACTGGGCGTGCACGTGCCAGCCCGCTGTTAGCGTGCACCCAAGAGCGGAGGAAATCCTCCAAACGGCCTTTCAAAGCAAAATGACCAAATGAATCTCAAACTCTTGTTTTGATCGTCTGCACCGAGGCCCGAGAGTGGAGAGGAGAGAGGAAATAGGAGAGAGGAGCGAGTAGTAGAGGAGGAGAGGAGGGAGGAGGGAGGAGAGGGGAGAAGAGGAGGGAGGAGGGAGGAGAGGAGAGAGAGGAGAGGAGAGGAGAGAGGTGAGAGGAGAGGAGTGGAGAGGAGAGGAGAGGAGAGGAGGGAGGAGGGAGGAGGGAGGAGGGAGGGGGAGGAGGGAGGAGGGAGGAGAATGTGGCCCGAGGTCTTGTAACCTTTGACCTAATCACAGCTCTGCTCATGTTCAGAACCCGATCCCTCCTCCCTCTCGTGTGACTCTGCTTCAGTTTACTCTTCTATGATCATGAGAACTTTCTCAACGGGACGTACTGAAGACCCCGTAGATGGTGGGATTCTGTGGATCCTTGGTCTCCAGAACGAAGATGTCCTCTAGAGAAACAAGGAGACAGCTTTTAATTTCAACATCATGAATCAAGTGGGTGAGAGGAGAGGTTTGTCATCTTCAGGAGAGGAAGAGGAAGGAAGGAGAAACATAGGGATGACATCATCGTATCAGTGAAAGTTCAATCAAAGTGAGTTCAACGAGGGCGTGGCAGCATGACAGGAAGGAAAAGGAGGGAGGACAACGAGTATTATTACCCAGCTCATCAAACTGGGTATCGACTCCTGATGGGCCGGACACAGAACAGACCAGTCTCGCTTTGAGGAAGGTGGTCCAGCGGTTGATCAGACTCCTTTTACCTCCTACGTCGTTCTAGATAGAGAGGAGAGGAGAGGAGAGGAGAGGAGAGGAGAGGAGAGGAGAGGAGAGGAGAGAGGAGAGAGGAGAGAGGAAAGAGGACAGGAGAGGAAATAGGAGAAGAGAGGATGTGAATATAAATGCCAAGTTGATCCTAACAGAGTGTTTCTTTTAGTTTTGGCTTCCAGCTGTTACCTTGCAGACTCGAGCCACGCGGCTGTACACCCTCTTGTCCCACTGACCCGCCTCCACCGCCGTCTCCCTGAAGAAGAAGTAGACCTTGTCGTCGTCAGGACTATGAGTGTCGGGGATGGAGAAGGAGCCCACGAACTCCGGCTCTGAGAGGGACGGGTTTTTAAATGTTAAACTTGAATCAGAAGGTGGATGTGGTTCATTTTACAGACACATCTCTGGAAGAGTAACAAGAAACAGACTCTGAAGAGGACTGGAGCTTCTCACCATGGAGCCAGTTTAGATTGAAGGCCTCAGTCCGGAGGTGGAGTTGACTTCTGCCCTGGACGGACGTACGAAGGATCACAGAGTCTGCTCCCATGAAGTCGACTGAGGTACCGGTATAAAGTTCACCATCTGAGGAGAGAGAAACACAAACATTAAAAGACTAAAAAGACGAGAGTGTTGATTAATGTGCAGAACTCCTGTCATATACAACAGTTTAAAGACTTTATATGTGATGTTTTGATCCAGCAGATGTCGCCCTTGAGCACCAGCATGAAACCAAAACAACTCGCGCTGCATTGTTGTGTTAGCATGCTAATGCTAGCGATCTTTATTATGCTGGTATCTTCACACTGCATGTAAATTTACCTGAAATGAGCGTGATCTAGAAACACAGTTAAGCAGTGAGTACAGTATGTTATTCTTCTTTTCTCTAGTCCCTCAATTAAACAACTTTTATACACGAGGGGAGGAGTCAGCCGGCCGTCTCAACGATGTAAACAAAGTGAAGATAGGACTCTGAAAACTCTGAAAACATCACAGACAGTGGGACTCGGGTGTTACACCCATTGTAGACAGTCATGACTCACAGAGTTATTTTCAGAGGATAAACTTGATTTATATTATATTTAAGTGTGAAAAATCACATAGAAAGACTTTTAAAGTCAAGTCAAGTTTATTTGTATGGCACGTTTGAAACCGCCTCAGCCGACCACAGGGCTTCACACACAAACATGACAGTATGATTAACATGGATAATATTGGATTTGTTTTAAGTCATTTCAAATGCCAGGGATAAAAGCGTCTGATGAGGGGAAGCGATTGAGTCCACAGACGAGGGTGCCTACAGCTGAGAAGGCGCGTTCTCCCACATGTACAAGTGGATCACAATGTGTGACGCTTGAGGAAAATGCTCTCTGATTGGTCAGAATTTCTTGAAGGAAACATCCCTTAAGTTAAAGAAAGAGTCGACTACTGATTGGCTGAGGCTGCTCCAAAGACTCTTATACACTACTCTTAGAACTACACAGATTGATGTCAGACATGCTCACTGGTTTTGATGTTTTTTTTGCATTTATCACTTTAGGAAACGATACACTGGGTTCATATTCTGACTAAAAACATCCTACACCAGAATCGGAATATAAGCGCCACCTTTCTGAGGGGTCTCGGTATGGTTGTTCGGTCCACTCTAAGGGTTTGATTGACAGCTTTTACACCAGCGCAAACGACTCACACTGACTCGGCAAAGGGACACAAGTCCATTTTAACCGAACCTCAGAAGGTCTCCCAAACCACATCAATCTTTTACACGATTTACAACAAGAAGAAGTGAATCAGAAAGTCACAGGAGGCGTAATATCCCCCGAGGCAGCTTTTTTATTTGACCACAAA